GTGTCATTACTTATATAGGTCACCTAAATTTAGAGAGAGAAGGAGAGAGAGAAAAAGAGAGTGATGCTGAGAATATAGAGAAAGGCTTGAGGAATTCTGGAATATGATTTTTTATGCCTAGTGTCATTATTTACTGTAAATAAAGAAAATAACTTGCCTTCCAAGTAATATAAAGTATAATTGGGAAAAAAAATTTAGATTCCAAATGATTCATAATTTATCTTTACTTAGGATTTACACAATCGCACTATTTTTAATATTAATTACAATAATATAACTAATTCTATTGTTGATATTTATTATTTTAGCAGACTAATTTTCGCCATTTTCTTCTTAATTATTATATTTTGACCTAAGCTAAACCCTAAACCACGAAAATACATTACGTGAAAGATCACGCATGTCAAGAAGGATCGCATGCAAATCGCAATATGTAGTATCGTAAATCGACATTTTAAAGATAATATATGTGTTAATATATGAAGAAACCCTAATTATTTTGTCGAGGGAAAAGAATGAGGATAATACATGTGTTTTCCTACGGATAACCTACTTGTTCCCCCACATACGATTAATGAATCTTTACCGTCCCAACATCATAATCAAAATTATTTATTCTTTTTTATCATCATTTAAAGATTATATTTGCAAAATATCATTCAATTTGAAGATCGTTTAGTCACCATACATATCAAATCAATCAACAATTTTGGTAACAAGTAGCATCCTCTTGATGAACTGTTTATTTGTTTTATGCATATGAATAACTAAAAGATCTCCAAATTGAATATTTTGCATACCTTGATCTTTAGATGATGATCAAGATAATGAATTATTTCAATTATGATGTTCGTCCAGTAAAGATTCGTTAGTCGGAAATAAGGGGACAATTAAGTAAGTCCCTATAACACAAGCATTGTCCAAAAGAAAAATATCTTTCCAATGACATTATTAGCCCTTTTGTAGCAATTGAGTGATAGCGAGTTGTGGGGACGCATGGACCTCAAAACGTGAGGAGGTTGGTAATATTCTTGTATTCCAGAAACTGATCTAATCTAATTTCTGAAACCCTCTATTTTTTGTTCAATAATTTATTCAGAAACCTACCCATCAGAAGGATATATATACACCCACCTGCCTCCTAATTTTTTAGTGTGTTAGGAACAAAACTCGGTATACCTAGTGTCATAATACAAGTGGTTGAATTTTTTTTTTCAAGTATCCAACCACTTGTATTATGACACGTGATGTAACATGTCGTGTTCTGGGCACACTGAAAAAATATCTCCCCATTCTTGAGTATAATATGAATGCCCTTTGTGTATCAGCAATTCTGGTTTAACCTGTGGTCTAAGCAATGTAGCATTTCTGGCTTTGTAGAAAGAAGTAAAACCAATCCTTGGCATTCTATTTATGCATCTCGTTTGACTTTGTACTTTGGTTTTACACGTACGACCTCGTTATAATGTCATAACTGAATGATCGATGATCTAATAACAAGCATGAAACTTTTTATATTTTGGTCTCTCACAACTTCACGATGGTCCTCACTCTGTGTGAAAATTGCCGTAATCATGCAACCCTATTAAATGTTCTGTTCTAACCTTTTGTTCTTGAAATGCATCTTTCATTCTAAAATGGTTGTTCATTAGTTCTTGTCTCTTACATTTTTGTGGTCATACATTATTTGGGGTATTTAGATTCTCATAAAAATAAGGCATTAAAGAAAAAGAAGTTTGAAATTGAGATTTCTTTCAACAATGTGCCGGAAGAAAAATACAACTAGACTAATAACTCGTATGCACATTGATCTTTAGACTTCCAACCAAACAAAATAGACTACTACAAAGTCTTTAAGCCACAATTGTATTTCTTACAATGTAATCAATAAATGTAACACTTGTAACATTGTTTACTCTTGCGGCTATAAATTTATATTTAGGAGTTGAAATGTCTCAAATTCTTCGTCACATTTCTGATTTAAACAACCTATGGATAAGTTCTTAGATTATGGACATTGCATATATAATTCATAGTTCATACTATACACATCGTTTGGGAAATTTTTTAAATTATCATACGAACTTAGACATTTTTTTCAATTTGTTATATGAACTAAAATTTTAAGGGATTTGTCATATTAATTTTTCCGAAATTATTAATAGGTCATCTTATATCCTAACACAGTTAAGTTTTTCATCCAAAATACTTGCACATGACTTGTATTAGGGTTATTTTGGACATTTGACTGACGGAAAAAAGAAATCAAGAGAAGAGAAAGGAAAGGTAGAGAGAGGGGTTAAAATAATAAAATGAATTAATAAAATGATAAAAACATATTTGGATCTCAAAAATAATGTAGTCTGCAACTTAATTCGACATCGCACCAGACGTTTCATTATTCTTATACTACTTAGTCCATGTCAAGTTCAATTCAACTTAGTCCTTGAAGCTAATACAGTCCGAAATAATCCCGTGTACCACAACACCCTAAGGCCATATCCAACCGAATGAGGGCCAAAAGGCTCCCTTTAGCCCTATAGTCCTGCAAGAAATTATATTTTAATGAACAGTGCTAGGCCATATTTTATATCATCTCCAACCGAGGCCAAACATAATTTATTATTTTAATTAAATTAATATAGTTAATTAAATTAAATTACCATATTAAAATAAGATTTTCGAACATATTTTGAGTGCCACTTGTCGCCAAATGAATAAACTTCCGGATTTCTTATCTTTATATAATCTCAATAATTTTTTTGATAGGATTTCGAGTGACACGTGTCGCTAATGTGAATAACTCTCCAAATTTCTTATCTTTATTTAATCTCAATAATTTTTCGGATAGGATTTCTAGTGACATGTGTTGCTAAAGTGAAGAACTCTCCAAATTTTTTATCTTTATGTAATCTTAATAATCTTTCGGATAGGATTTCAAGTGCCACGTGTCGAGATATAATTGATTGTGCAAAATTTAGATAGGATTCTTATATATGTGGCATTCTTATCTTCAACTTTCAATGTTGTAGGAATGTTGTAGGTATTTATAGGAAAAAAATTAGATTTTATTTTTTTTAAATTCGTCCAAAAAAAAAAAATTCAAATTACAACGGTAACCTGACGGCAGCTAGCTGGCATCATGCTGACGCCAGGTAGCCGTTGGCATTCAAATAGGCTGAGCTTGAGTGCTCACAAGCCTTTTGGTCTAGCATTCGGTTGGAGACGGTTTTCATGTCATTCCGAGCTAGTTTTGGCCCTATAACCCTTTGGACGAGTCGATTAGAGATAACCTAATGTTTTAGAGGCCTTTTGGTCTAAGAAACCATTTTATTTTTAATTTCTAATTTTTAAAAGAAAGATCAGGCCAGTGAGACACAAACACGTGAGATCTGTTTTAAGGTAGGTGACGACGATCTGCTACCTGTGAGAACAGTATATATCAAGAAATCCATTTTGACTCCAACAGATTCAAATTACCCACGCGCCCTACTGCGTGTGTAATACCTCCCAAACTCATTTGTGAAAAATGATCTTCTTTTTCTTTTTTTTTAATCCTTATTTCATACAAGCAATTTTGGGGGTAAGATAGATTCGAACTCAGTAGTTTGAAAGCAAGATAATGCTCTTAATCAACTAAGCGAAAATTTCTTTGTTAATGCCATTTAGAAATGTTTTTTTTTCAAAAAGAACGTTTGTTCGCAAATTCCCTAATGTGATTAGGATGGTTTTTAAAATGAGCCTGTAGACGTCACACTATACACTACAATCTATATGAACCTAAAATAGTCACACGAAGCTTCAACTTCTTAATTCATGCTAAATTTGTATCCCTAAACGACAACTAATTACAGAGTTTGTCATAATATTGCAAGTATGGCTTTTACACACCTCAGAACCCTTACATCATCTGTCCAGTCATCAAATTAACAAAGATTCAAGCATCCAAACAGTTAAAATATAGATTGAATACAATTTCAAAACCTCATAATGTAATGAGAAAGTGAAAGCCACAATTTTGTAATCACCCTAAACATGAAAAGTAATATATATATATATATATATAATAAAGGGTAAAAGTTAGGCTAAGACTTACAATAATCAATCATAATAATTTAGTTTGAACTCGTCATTTAGGGAAAACCACAATGGACAACCAAAATAATGATTTCATGTTGCAAAATTGTTAATTAGTAAATTGTATAAGAGAAATGCTAATGAGACTTTTTTAAAAATGGAACTCTCCATGAACTTTCCGCCACCTTATTTTTTTGACACAATTCATGTGCCAACATCATAAAATATTATGTTAAAAACATGAAGTGACGGAGAGTCTATATAAAGCCTCAATTTAAGAGAATCACCTTAGCGTTTCCCATCATATAATTTCACAATAGTACATGTGAGCTTTCATTTTCACAAAAGTCTTTTCCTACAAAAGATATAAAGACACAGCCAAACGCGCTCAAACTGTGATTGGTTGTAGAATTCTCTCAACACAAAAGAAATAGTACAAAACAAAAATAAAATAAAATAAATGAAATAAAAAAGGAGATTTTATATGAAACTGGAAAGAACACCAACCCTAAATTTCATTTCAGAGTTTCTGGGTGTAGATCGGAACCTGAGGTTAAAAGATAAGCCAAGACTCAAGAGATAGAACTACAAGACAACAAGCTCTGATCTTTCTCTCTTCTCTCTCTCCCCCCTCCATATCTCTTTAGGGTTTTCCAACTGAGTGAGTATCTAACTTTCTCTTGTTTTTTCACAAATTTGGTTACAGTTTGGTACTGACCTAGAAAAGGAGGATTATTTGCACCAAAGAGAGAAAGAAGAACAAGAAAGGGAAAGAAAATATTGCCAAGATCAAAACTTTTGGTGATTAGATGCACAAAATTAAGAAATATATACATTAAAAAAAGGGAAAGAAAAATAATTAAGGGGTTTGTGGGTGTGTGGGGGTGGTTTTTGGGTGGATAATATTTTTAGTAATTAAAGACATGGGGAGAGGAAGAGTGGAGCTGAAGAGGATAGAGAACAAGATAAACAGGCAAGTCACATTTGCAAAGAGAAGAAATGGGCTTCTGAAGAAAGCTTATGAGCTCTCCGTTCTCTGTGATGCTGAGGTTGCTCTCATCGTCTTTTCCAACCGTGGCAAGCTCTATGAGTTTTGTAGCAGCCCTAGGTAATTCCTTATATATATATATATGGTCTGATCAATTTTTTCCTTCTATAATTTCTGGATTTGAGTTGGGATCTGTTAATTGTTCTCTCTATAGTTTCTTTGATTTCTTCATGGGTTTCATTGGGATCAATTTAATATGATTTAATGGCCCCTACAAGTGTAATCCTTTCACAAAGTTTCTCTCTTTTTAATTGTTTAATTAATAATTTTCATACGGCTGATGATACAAATTATAATTTCTTCATGGATTTCATTGGGATCCACATATATGATTTTAGTTGCTTCTACAAATGAAAGCCTCTTCCATAAATTTTCTATCTTTTTTGTTTAATTAATTAATTTCATAAGGCTGATGATACAAATTTAGATTTCATCATGGGCTCAACTGGGATCCATATATATGATATTTGCTTCTACTATCGCAAAAGCATCTATTTGTAAATTTTCTTCTTTTTCTTGAAATTAATTTTTAGTGCTATATATATTGGAAACATTAATTGTAATAGTCTCACAAGGCTGATGATATAAATTAATTTTAAGTTCCATTACCTGAAAAGATTCATTTTCTTATCCGTTATTTAAAATTAATTTTTTGTGATAAATATGTGTGTGTGTTGTTTAGCTAATTAAGGTGTTAAGTTTTTGTTCAAAAAAATTTAGGGTGTTAAGTTTTCATATAATTTAGTATCTGATTTTACAAAGTGATATTTTGTTCATTTTTTGGGTACTAATTCTTGCATAAGCTATTGAAGATGTTGGATTTTCATCTAATTCCATGTATCTAATTGCACCAAATGATATTTTGTTCATTTTCTGGGCTAATTTTTGCATTTTTTGGGACACTACAATTATTGCATTAGCCGATTAAGGTTCTGGGTTTTCATCTAATTTCATGTACCTGATTGCACAAACTGATATTTTGTCAGTTTTTTGGGTATTAATTCTTGCATTACTGGATCTGAAGCACAAATGTTCCCATTTTACTTAGCATTTGGAGTTCTTTCTTCTAATTTGATTTCTTCTTTGTAAGAAAGGATTGACTCCTTTTTTTTTTTCTTTTTTTTTTTTATGGTTAAATGAAAAAAGATTGCCTTTACTTCTTTGCCCTTAATTTCTTCCCCTTGCATGTCTAGTTGTGAAATATAATTAAAAAGTGATATTCATACTCCCATTTTCTCTCCCTTCAATCCTCCCTCATTTTCTATCCTTAGGATTAATTGAACAAATATTAAAGGGATTTAAAGAACACAACCCTGAGGGAGAAGTGCAGAAGAAGGAAACGAGAAAGTAAAACATTATTATTCTATAATTAAAATTCATATAAACTTTTCTAATTATTTAATTAAATAAAATTTAAGTAATTCATCTTTTGCTTTGACCCAAAAAAAAAAAAAAGTATTTCATCTTTTGCACTATCTTGTTCAAACGAGTCCCCTTGTGTGAATTGATTGAGTTAAAGAGAGTATGGCCGATCGGCTCCAGAGGTGTGAGCATCAAAAGCCTGAGATCATAATGATCCTATATTGCTTTTCCCATAGAATTTGAAAGTTAGAGTTCTCTGGCATGCATGTCTTTGAGAAAATTACTTCTTGTGATTATTTTTGCTCTGAAACCCGTATATTTGACACATCTATCAAAGAATAACTATATCTATTGTACAGTGGATTATAAGCTGTGTGACATCTTTCAAATCATGAATTACTTAAAAGAAAATTTAAAGTTTTTTCCTTTTTGCTTCACCACTTCTTAATTAAAGACAGTTTTTTTCTCTCTGTTCAGCATTGATCTTTGTGATTATATATGTATGTCTGTTGTGCATGCAAATCATGTTTGTTAAGTTTTAACACTGCAAATTTTAGTTTTTCATTGTGTTCATGAGACAATTAATATTCTAGTGTTTTTACATATGGGGGTTCAGGAATTATTAGTAATTTTTAGGTATGTGTAGGATATTCATAAATCAAATATGTTTAACTAGTAAGTGAACCACCATGCAGTAACCCAGTAGTTAGAGATAAATTCCAGACCCGTAGTCCATACGACCCCCAAAAGAATGGACTATGGTGGTGAAGCCACCACTAGTCTCTCTTAAAAAAAAAAGTGGATTGGACACATTCATAAATCCAATGTAAGTAATGAGAGGCAAGTTTTTTAACTAAAGTTTGGTACTTTCGAATATGAAAAGATGTCCAATCAGAACCATAAATTTGGTTTACGTAAAGAGTTTCAACAATACATTTGAGTGCTGACAAGCTTTTTTTTTTTTTATCTTTACGAAGATATTTGATGAATTTGTCTGTTTCATTGTCTTTTTCTTTTAATATAATTTTATCTATTTGGCGTAACCAGAAATTACTACTAATAGGAAACCCTTTACTTTACTTGTGAAATAAGATTCTTGGGTTTAGATATGTTTCATGCGTGAAAAAAAAAATGCTTGTATATATTTGTTGTTAATACTAACTATAAGGATTTAGGAAAAACATTTGTATTAGGTTGTCAATTTCGAATGTTGATCAAATACTTTCTTGTCTGGATTCGTTGTTAATTTAAATGTCTGACATCATAATATGTAAATCGGGAAGACAATGTTACTTAACCATTCTTGAGTATAATGAGCGAACTCCTTGCTTTGTTGAAATGTAGTTAAACTAGGACAATTATGTTGCTCGCATGAAAGAATACATGGCGTATTTATATGCTGAATCCAGTGATTAAGATGACTATTGTGTCTTGGATGCTTCGATTTATAATTGGTGAAAATACTTTGCTGCATTTAATTTATGCAAAGAAATCAACAAGCTCTTGTTCTTATAATATCACACACACACACACACACACACACACACACACATAACACCACGTATTATTATACAATCGGAGAACCTCCAATTGTATTATGACATATGGTATTCCGTCCCGTATTTCTGGCACACTAAATCATATGTACAATAATTGGCTATCTATGTGCAATCATTTGAGACATGAGAAGTTCATATCAAATGATAGCTGTGAGTTTTGGCTTGGTGTCTTTCGCTGGGAAAATAGTTCTACAACATGGATTGGCATGCATGTTATGGTTTCTTCTCATAAACAAAAAATTTCATCTTTTATTATCCTAATTAATTGGTCTTTTTTCTTCCTTCCTTTTCTCCTCCCTTCTTCTTTAGCATTCTCCAAACCGTAGACAGGTACCAAAAGTGCAGTTATGGTGCGGTGGATCAAGTCAACATACCTGCAAAGGAACTTGAGGTAACACCTAAGAAATTGCTAGTTTTCTATATCGTGCATAAATTTTAAAACGTTTTACTTCGCTAATACATATTTGCTACTTTGCATGGATATATATCAGAGCAGCTATCGTGAGTACATGAAACTCAAAGGTAGATGTGAGTCCCTACAACGAACTCAGAGGTAATTAATCATCTGTGAATTATAATTAAGCCAATGGATTAACTGTGGTCTTCATGGAATTGCTTATCGCTTAGAAATTTACATTTTTGATGAATAATTTCAACTTATGTTGTATCCATGCATGTAGAAATCTTCTTGGTGAGGAATTGGGTCCATTAAACACAAAGGAGCTTGAGCAGCTTGAGCGCCAACTTGAGGCCTCCTTGAAGCAAGTTAGGTCCACTAAGGTAACTGCAGTTCAATATCAAATTATGAGTTATACATTGACCATATGGCAGAATTCATCATCCATTTTTAGGGCCCGTTTGAGATTGCTTATGTTACTAGAACTTCTGCTCGAAGTGATTTAATGGAAACACAACAAATCTTTTGGTAAAGGTGCTTTTAGGAATCAAAACAACTTTTAGTTATGCCTAGCATAGCCATAACCAATTTTCGTTATTTGGAAGTGCATTTAGCCATTCAGAAAGCATTCTCGCGCAAACCCTTAGATTTTAATGAAGTATTGGCTTGAACTACCCCCTTTCAGCTCTTTTAGGAGATGTCGCATTAATTGTTCATCTCATGTTGCTTTGCAGACCCAGTATATGCTGGACCAACTTTCTGCCCTTCAGAACAAGGTATGTGCCTTTCAGTTTTGCCGAGAAATGAAGGCATTGCAGTTTCATGTGCTTAAAAGTGAATTATCTACCTTGTTCTAATTACAGGAACAACTGTTAATCGAAGCCAACAGGGATTTGACAATGAAGGTAAATTTCTGTCTCAAGGCTCACTGCAGTTAAATTTTTAATGTGCTCTTTTGATTGTGACACTGTCATCCGTAAGAAAAAACTAACGAGTCTTGCGACGGTCCAATGTGCTCTCTTGATTAATTCTGAATATTTATATTCAATAATATTACCATATGAATATTGCAGTTGGATGAAATTGGTTCAAGAAATCAACTTAGACAGTCATGGGAAGGAGGTGACCAGGGTATGGCATATGGAACCCAACATCACCATGCTCAATCCCAAGGGTTCTTCCAGCCTTTAGATTGCAATCCCACTTTGCAAATAGGGTAATTATACAAGTATTTAATATTTAATTATTCATCTAAATAAGTTATGTTAAACTTCACTAATAGCTTAATTACAAGCTAATTACTTTAAATAATTTACAGGTACCCTGCAGAGGGGTCAGAGCAGATGGGTGCCACAACTCATGCCCAACAAGTGAACTGTTTCATCCCCGGATGGATGCTTTGAGTTTGTGCTGCTGATGAATCTGATCAGTGCCTCTAATCAGCCATAAAAAAACATATACCCAAGTTTATGCTTTTTTTTTTCTTTTTTTCTGGCAATATATAAACTGCATGTAACCTTAATTTCACATAAAATCAGCAGTGACTGCATTTCAAGGGGACCTTTCAAAGGCCTAAAGTCCTTTTAACTTTTGTTAGAGGGCTTAAGTTTACAATATTGCGAACTTATTTCTTGCTTTGAGACTATGGTTATATAATGTTTTCCTTTTTTTAAGAGAAGAGTAGTTGCAGATGACACTTTATCGTAGTGGCAGAAAACAATGATTTCTATGCATATTGGTGCGGGTTTGATGCCCATCGATCCCATTTCCCTAACATTTAACAATTCAACTCACAAACGCTATTGTTTGTAAAAAAAAAAAAGAGACTGGATATATGTATAGGGTTAGGATCCTGCTTTGACACCCATTTTATAAGGCCCATTTTGTAATGTATTCATAGATCATCCTTGTAAAAAATTAAATAAATCCAAAACCATCAAGAGATTTATTTGTAGTGAAGAAAATTGACAAATACGGTTTTGCAAAGAAATAATAAATTTTATTCAAGTCATATGGTTTCGGATTTGGCTAATTTTTGGTAGACATGAAATTTGAGTATGACATAGAAAATAGATGGTTGGATCATGAAATACATAACGGAGTGGCTCCCAAAAAAACGTGTACAAACGTATGTCAGAAATGTGTGTCCCCAAGACCTTAACCTATATAGATAAATAGATAGATAGAAAGATAATTCTTATTCTCATGCACATTAAATTTGTACATAAAGATATAGGGATGAAGACCAAAAATTGAAGGGTAAAATATTGAGTTATTAGGATCAAGTGCATCCAATGATAAACCTTGCAGCGAAGAATTCGAAATTGGGACCTCTTTCGCTATTGAGAAGAGAAATATCTCTAAACAAATACCTAGCTTGTGCAGAAAATTGGGACCTTAGTTGAATCAAAGGTCTCTTAATTGTGTCAAGCCCGGTCAGTTTGTTCAAAACAAAAGTTGGGCCTATGTGTTTGCATTGTCCTGGGGTTTACAACATTTTCTCCTCCATAAGCCCAATATAATTTGGTTATAACTTAAGCCCATAATAAGTGGCAGTACATAGTAGTCACCTATAATGCTCAATTAAATTTTTATAAAGGCTAATTATATTAAAACTCCACAAATTGTTGAATAAACTCCATAAACTTAATAAACCCCACATTTGCTTTTTTCACTTAAAAATTATCTTATACACCCCACTTACTTTCCCATAATACCCCCACACCCCACATTCTCAATATACATCTTATATTTTGTACATACACCCCATATTTTCTTTACACCCCACATTTCTCAAAACTTATAACACTCATTTTTAATTTTCAGGGATTGAATCTAACCATATGAACACTAAAAAATGAATATGAACATAGAAGTTTAAATAATGCAGCAAAAACAAGATTAAATAATTGTCGATGTCATCAAAATCACTAAAACAATGAAAACTATGAAGTCTTACCTCATGTGAAGCTCCTGAAACATCAATTTCGTGTTCCATTCGTCAAAAACAATTTTTCTTAATCAACATGTTTGATAGTTGAGAAGATAAATAATACGCTAAAAGTGATTTGGGGTGTATTTATACATCTTTATTTTTTTTAAAACCTAATAAGGTCAAAATTGTCATTGCATAATGGAGTACATAAGTCATTTAATATTAAATTTTAATGTGGGGTGCATTCAATATTTTGTGGGGTGTTAATATAAAAACCTTTTATAAATTTAGTATTTTGAAGAAGCATGTGAATATATGGGGGGATTAAGATCATGGAGTTCTATTGAGAAATTCTTTCAATCACCTTATTTGATAGAGATATATTGTGGGGCTTGCTACGAATTTTATTTCAATGAATCGAATCCTGTTTTTAATCTCGATCAAAGTGTTGTAGTTTTAATATTTAGAAATGTGATCGTGTAAATCCTATTATATCTTGAGATATCCTTATGGAATTCTACCATATCTTATAGATTAGATATTATCCTATTAGAGTTGTAATCCTAAAGAATTTACCTTTCCTACTATTATAAATAAAGGCACCATTGAGATAAGACACACCTCAAAATCACACCTCAAAATCACACCTCAAAATCACATATCTCTCTTCTCTCTCTTGCCGTGCCACACCCCCTCTCTCTGCTCTTTAGTTGTTCAGTCAAATAGGCCTACAACACAACAAAAATATCATTCTTATAAAACTTAGACGAATGCAATATCTTAAGGAAGAACAATATCATTTAGACACAAAATACTGATAACATTGTTGATCATCTCTCTTATATAGGTGGGCATATGAATAAATAAAATAACCACCATTTAGTTGAAATATTAAATGGCTTTAAATTTAGGTAATATTTTGCTACGATAATTTTTGAAAGAAGACCCAAGTGAATCGCAGAAATTAAAAAAATTAGATTTAGATTACGGAATACTTTTTTGTTTACTTAACTTTGGGATAATCAAAATGTATGTGGCATCCACGCGAATTTAGAAATCCAACTCCTCTTTTAGAGGAATTGGACTCCTAGACAAGGAAGGTATTTGAATTCCTTGGCATGTGGGGGAATGGGAATGAATTCCTTTAACCAATTATGCCCTTACTTGGTTCTTTTTATTCCAACATTGCCCTCACTTGATTTTCTATTAATTAAACCAAAAATGATATATTAACCAAAAAAATTATAAATAATTTATTAACCATAGAAAGAGACCATAATTATTTTATTTGAAATATATGGGTAAAAATGAATAAAACTAATCGAATTTTTATTATAAATGGATAATTTTTTAAAGAAGACCCAAGTGAATCGTAGAAATTAAAAAAATTAGATTTAGATTACAGAATACTTTTTTGTTTACTTAACTTTGGGATAATCAAAATGTATGTGGTGTCCACGCGAATTTAGAAATCCAACTGCTCTAAGACTCCTAGACAAGGAAGGTATTTGAATTCCTTGGCATGCGGGGGAATGGGAATGAATTCCTTTAACCAATTATGCCCTTACTTGGTTCTTTTTATTCCAACACTGCCCTCACTTGATTTTCTATTAATTAAACCAAAAATGATTTATTAACCAAAAAAATTATAAATAATTTATTAACCATAGAAAGAGACCATAATTATTTTATTTGAAATATATGGGTAAAAATGAATAAAACTAATCGAATTTTTATTATAAATGGATAATAATTAATTAGTATACAAATGATTAGAAAACAATATGAACATAAAAATAATTTATATAAAGGGCATTTTAATAATCATATTGATTTTTATTCCGATTCAGCTGAATAGTAAACCATTTATATGGAATTCGAACCATTCCTATCCTTATTGCAGAAAATTTTTAGTAAATAATTTCAACAAAACTCCTCCTCAATTCAACTCATCTTTAATTTAATTCCTCTCATTATAGTGTATCTCAAAATAAAGTTACTCGAGGATCCTTCATTGAAGCTCCCACCCTATACATGGATAATAAACCCCACATATAAATATATAAATAAATAAATAAATAAATAAATAATATATATATAAATAAAATAGAAAGCGAGAGCCCCAATTTGGGGTCACGCATGCTGATAACAACTTTGGGGTCACGCATTTGACAAAAATATTAGGACAAAATTGCCTCTCAACCAAAAAAAGCCAAAAGCAGCCCAATATAATATATCAAATATAATATATCAAATAATGTAGGGGTAATTTGATAATTTTGTCATCATAAAATATAATATAAATATAAGTGGTTAGAGAGAAAAGAATAAAAAAAATGAAAGGATAAGTAAAAGTTGATGGTGCCCACATGAAGGGGAAAGAAAAATATAATAAAAAAAAATGATGAATATTGTGTTCAAAACATTTTAAGAGGTGTATAGTGCTGGTGATAAATTAGTAAAGATTATTTTTTTATATTTATTTATATTTATAAATTAGTACCTTACATATATAGGTGCATATTCCAAAGCAATAAGGGCTACATTTTAATTTAATTATCCATATATTTGAGATAGTGTGAAGTGTTGAATTATATACGCGTGAAGAGAATCAGATGGTCCCATATATGCATGTGCTCGACCAAAGAGATGCATGTATATAGATTTACGAGGTTTGATTTAACAACGGTTGATTCATTGGGACCGTTTAGTTTGCATGTGTACTATTCTTATCTAGGGGTGCAACTCGGGCGGGTTAGAAGATTAATCCAATCCCAATCCAATTTTTACCATTCGGGCTTGGGTTCGGGTTGGGTTTCATTCTGATTCATTTGGACTCGGGTTTAATTGGGTTTGGGTTTACTTGGGTTGAATTTAGGTTGCCCAACTTTTTCTAGTTTAATTTTGTAACAACTTAGTTTTCAAGAATTCCTAAAAAAATTAAGCCAAGTAGCATCAAAGCTAGCTAACCTTAATTTCATAAATCCATCTACTATAAAGCTTTAGGATTCAGAGACTACAAATATGGGCTGACTAATCAAAACCTCTTATTCCCTAAAAACTTAAGTAATTATAAAGCTTAGTTTATTAAAAAAAAATTAGAAAGTGTGTTGGTTTTTGGACTTGGCTCACTTGGGTGTAGTATGAGCATTATACAATAGTGTGTTGGTTTTTGGACTTGGCTCACTTGGGTGTAGTATGAGCATTATACAATATGGTTAGATTGAGTTTGGTTAGTTGGGGTGGGTTGGGTTGGGGATGGACGGGTAATTGATCAACCCAATCAATAAACGGGTTAAATTTGGGTTGGGTTCCCGGGGGGGGGGGGGGGGGGGGGGGGGAAGGGTTATAACTTAAAAAATACCCACTTGTTTAGGTTTAAAGTCGGATTGGACATGAACGGATTCGAATTAGTCCAACCCAAGTTGCACCCCTATTCTCATCTCATCATTATTTTAAGGTTTCTAA